AGTGCCCAGGGCCTAACTAACTCAGAGGCCCTGGGATCTCCACATTTGCAGAGATTCGAGACTCGGTGCACTCCAACCAACTGGCGTGCTGCAACTGTATGGACCCCACTTCGTGAAATGTTTGCACAGAGGGCCCGCCTTTGCTTAGGGCGGGCACGAGGCTTGATGGGGCCTTAGCCCAGAACATGTACATCATGGCAAGGCCCCTTCTTGAGGGCTCAATCCTCACATTTGCTTGATTGATGGATTGATTGATTGATTGACTGAAACAGGTACAGGTGATGATCAAGACGGAAAACAGGTGGGGGGCCGGGCCTTGGGGGGATGAAGGGAGCAAAAAATATACAGCTGGCATGGGACAGGGGATGGGACGGGCAGTGGGCGTTTTATTGCCACTGCTTCCACCTTGGAAAGTCTATGAGTGGGACTGGGATTGAACTGGTGATTGCCACTGTCATCTCCCATGTGGTACATTGTGTCTTTCACGAGAGAATAATTTGTGACTAAAGATGGAAGGCCCCAGATTCTCTTCAGGGGGAGGTGTTAGGAGGCCTGGGAGTGTGTATGCAACTGGTACTACCGATCAACATAGTGGAGGAGAAGCTGGCAGCAAATGGCAAGTGAGAAATGGTTGCCTTGCTGTTCTCAGTAGGATGAACGGTACACATCTGCAAGGAGTGGGTACCTTGCCACTGTCAGTAGGGTGAATGGTGCCCACTTGTAAGGTACAATGACTATTCAAGAGTGGAGAGGCAAGTTATTACTGTGATCATTTTTAGTGGAGAACTGAGGAAGCTATTTCTGTCAGATTATGCGGAGGATGGTAGTTCAGTGCGTTGAAAGCATGAATGTTGGGATCAATTGAGGGCACACCAATCATTGGATCAATCAAGACATGGAACCCCCCTCCTCAAAAGGACTTAGAAATAAAAACGAGCAGTCAGAATGATTGGGAACTGGCACATTTAGTTTCCTATTTTCCTGTGGTGTGTGTGTGTGTGTGTGTGTGTGTGTGTGTGTGTGTGTGTGTGTGTGAAAGAGAGAGAGGTAGGTGACATTGTGGGAGAAATCGAGGGCAGCTTTTCACGTGACCCATCATTATGGCAGAGTCTGACAGTCATGGAGGCTTTGGCCGTTGCACAATATAGACGCACTTCGAGCTAGGTTTGCCTTATCTTTCTGTGTCTCTGTTACTCTTTGGGCAGTGCGTGTGTGTTTGTGTTATGGGCAGAAAAAAAGTACTTTCCAGAATCTCTGACAATGTGATCACTTATCTGCTTGAATGAACTTTTCCAGGATGGTTATGCCGTTGTTGCAGCTGATGGACCAGGGGTTTACCCCGTAATTGGAGAAGTGAGGGCAGGGGCTGATCCCTCTAATGTGAAGGTGATCCCCGGGCATGTGGTGTACATAACAACTGGAGGTAAGGGATGTGTTCATGCGATGGTTGGTTCCATTAGAGTGGTCAAACCTCCCCCAACCCCCACCATTATTGAAAAATATGTAACTGGAAGTGTCAAACTGACCGGGTTGATTTCAAGATCCCCAGGGTAGGGCTATCAGAATGTACCTGCATGGTGCAGAAAATGGTCTCAATGGGCTGTCGCTGTGCAGTCCGCATGGGTAGAATCATTCAGGTAGGGCAAACTTAGGCTCTTTTGAAACTACAGTTGTAAGTTTGTCTTGGCTCTTCAAAATATTTCCAGCAGCAATTTCCAGGGCCCCACCCACGTAGAAAACAAAGAGCCATCTTGCGTTTTGATCAGCATGTGAAAGAAAGAGGCTAGCTAGGCATGGTGTGAGGGCTTCAATAGGGTACAGTGGCCCTTCATGAATAGAGAAGTAAAAGTAATGGCAGTCTCACAAAAAGGGAAATAAGTTCTCTCAATTGCTGTACTTGGATTTGTGAGCTGTGGGATCAATCTGATGACAGGCAGTGAATGTAGAAATCAAACCCAAATTCAACCCTTAAAACCGAAAGAAAGGAGACCCCCTCCTGGCCTGTTGAGAGATCAGATAAAGGGAGAAAGATAGATGTAGTCATGGAGGCGCACAAAGCTTCTCCAGACTGTTCATGGAGACTCTCTACAGGTGTGCACTGAATTTATCCTGCTACTCAGAGGAATTTGTCACTTTGGCTGTGAAATGTCGGAACTGTGCAGCCAGGAAGAGAGAGAGAGAGAGAGAGAGAGAGAGAGAGAGAGAGAGAGAGAGAGAGAGAGAGAGAGAGGTGTCGCTTGTACATGTGTAGTGTTGTGTGGCAGGAGACAGGAAGGATTTCAACACCGGTAAGGAATGAACAAGAGGAAATCAAACTTTCCCTGTTCTGTTGTTTCTGTCATTGTATCACTGGAGGGAAGAGATCTTGTCTAATCTCGAATGCAAGACACACGGACTGTTGGCACACCCACAAGCCTAGCTCGGTTGATACACCCATGTGTGTGTGTGTGTGTGTGTGTGTGTGTGTGTGTGTGTGTGTGTGAGAGAGAGAGAGAGAGAGAGAGAGAGAGAGAGAGAGAGAGAGAGAGNGAGAGAGAGAGAGAGAGAGAGAGAGAGAGAGAGAGAGAGAGAGAGAGAGAGAGAGAGAGAGAGGTAGCTTGTACATGTGTAGTGTTGTGTGGCAGGAGGCAGGAAGGATTCCAGCACCGGTAAGGAATGAACAAGAGGAAATCAAACTTTCCATGTTCTGTTGTTTCTGTCATTGCATTACTGGAGGGACGAGATTTTGTCTAATCCCGAATGCAAGACACACGGACTGTTGGCACAGCCGTGAGCCTAGCTCGGTTGATACACCCACAAACTGTTGAAATACAGACCCAAGTTCGTATCCAGATGCAATCAGATGAACAAAAGAATATAATTGCAATGACCCGCCATAACACAGACTGAGAGAAGTTCTGTCGATGGAATGAATGCCTTGCTGGGATTCCCGCATTCTGCTGTGTTTTCTAAGTCTGTGTGTGTGTGTGCCTGTTGACTTGTGTGCCTGTCTGAGTGCTTGTCGGCACGAGTGTGTGTGTAGTGTGCGTGTGACCCGCAAGGGTACTTGTTTGGCAGGCCCGTAGGGCCGGTACTTACCTGTGGCCGTGGCATTGAGGGTTGCAGCAGGGGAAAACACTCAAGTGGCGGAGCCAGAGGCCCGCGGCACTTAGAGCAGCGGAAAAACACTCAAGTAGCAGGTAGGCCGGTACCGCACCCAGTAGCAGTAGATGTGCCGGGTACTCGAGGCCGAGCAGAAGGAGACAAAGTTGGCATTTTTTTAGGCCCAGTAGCGGTAGGCTAGGTCTAGGCTGGTACCAGTCCATCCAGTCTGACTCTAGAGCCTGTATGGGCAATATTAGAGTTTGCAATGATGTTTCCCTCCGAAAGGGAGGAGGTACCGCTTGCTTGGGAGGCCGAGCAGCCTGGAAGTCACCGCCCAGGAGGCAAGCAGGTCGCTATATCAAGAGGCCGAGGCAAGAGCTCGGCCTCATTCTTCAGTGTGCAAGTTTGGCGACACGCTGCTGGAGCGCTGGCTGGAGTAGCGCTGGGTACTACAGCGCTGCTGGGAGGAAGAACCCGGGAGCTTCCACCTTGGCTATGGTGGAGCTCTACTGGTAGGAGGAGGAGGGAGAAGGGGACCAAGGAGGAGAGTGGCGAGGTACCTACCTGGCTATGGCGGACACCATCTTCATCACCTTGTTAGGCACTGCATCTGGAAGGCCCCAGTTGGGTAGTGTCGCGTCGAGGAAGCTCGGGACAGAGTCAGGCATGGCGGTTGAGTGGGCAGCGGCGTAGCTGCCTGGTGTTGACCTTGGGACAGAAGGGCAGCAACATAGCTGCTTTGGGTTGTCCTTTGAACAGGAGGATAGAGCCCTCATTGCTCCGCCCTAGCCTTGGCCTGCATGTAGAGGAAGAGGAAGGGTGGCCATGACTATGGTGGACCTCATGTTGTGCCTGCAGTAGAAGTGGGATTCGGACATTGATTCTGGTTCAGCCATTCAACATTATTATTGTTATTTCTTGTTTGAATAAGTGCGGAGGAGATAAGGAGGAGGAGATTGGTTGGCAAAGAAGAAGAGCCTTGTCATTGGCCTATGCTGGAGTACATCATCTTCTTCTTCTTTCTTCTTCTTCTTCTTCTTTCCCTCTCTCTCCTCTCAAGTTCATTCATATCTTTTTGCAATTGGAGGACATTGTACTTTTTGATGAATGTATACTTCGAAATTGGTCAGGATCGTGACATTGGTATCAGAGCGGATTCTACTTGCTGGTGAGAGTTGACTTTGCTGCCATAACCCTAACCCTAGTGGTAAGGACTAACCACTTAGGGTTAGGACGGAAGTTAGGGTTAAGTGGGGCAGCATGGTAAAGGGAGGCTGCTCCCACCTGGCAGGGCAGTGTAGGGTCGACATTAGACCCGGCCAGGTAGCTTGAGTGCATGTTTGTGGTGGTGAGACACAAGGTGGGACTTCATGATGCAACTTGAGAGAGGCGACAGTGAAGGGCACCTACAACTTGAATAAGGAAGACGAGGAGTGACTTTAGGGCTCACCTCAAGTTAGGCAAGCTTGAGGGTGGCAGCCATATCTGCACCTACGGACTGCAAGTTGCTGCTTTGATCTTCAACATTGACGGGGGATCCGGCTTTGTACTTTGGGGTAGATGCTGACCCTCCTAGATGATAGGAAGCTAGTGTGGAGGATGCTAATTGGGTCAAGAGGACTATGTGAGAGGGGGGCGAGTTCTTTAATCTCAGGAGCCCGGCCACTCAGGTAAGTGTCGTACCGCCAGGGTGCCCATGTGTGTGTGCATGGAATTGACTGCCTGTTGGGGTATTCTGGGTTCTTCTTCCATCCTCCATAGTCTTGATTGTGTGTGAGGTGTGTGGACTACTTACTCACCTGATGAGTGAATGGATGGAGTATCTTGTCTGCCATGCCATATCTTTCTACAGTGCTCTGTCTATTTCATTCTGAACGGCTGTAGTCTGTAGGTTCTTTCTTGGGCTAAATTTCGTTTTTCAATTTGGTAGGGACAAAGAGTAGGTCTTTGTGGAGCTCTTGTTGGTTGGGACCCGGTTCTGACTCCACTTGGACCATTTGGGACTCAGTGGGACCGTACCCAAACAAGAAACGCCCCTCAGGCCAAATCTGTTGACGTTAGGTACATTGCTCTATCTGATTGGGACTCAGGATTCATGCTTTCGGACCAGGGCACTCGCTTCTGAGGGGATCTCAGCTGAGACGTTCTTAATGGACTTTACCGCACGATCCGCCGCCTGACTCGCACCTTGGATACCCGTCAATTCTCTGTTGCATTTACGTAGTACACTTCAAATATGATTTGTTGTGTCTTCACGGAGCTGAGTCCAACTAGGCTTGAGAGGACCTCATACGTAGTCGGTCCAGACTATGTGGCGAAATCAGATCTCTCTAATCTTTATTTTTTTGTTGTTTTGACTGCTCCCCAGTCCAAATGAATTGCCGCTCCGGCTAGGAGTTCTACCTTCTGTTCTGATTGATTTCAGGTTGTTTCTTTCATTGGGTTCATTAAATTCATGCGTCCACACGATCGCAAACAAGAGAGAGAGAGAGAAGAGAGAAGCTTCTGAGTGTTTCTCTTTAGGGAGTGAGGAGAGGGAAGAGGAGCGTTCGTCCCAGAAGTGTGAGGAAGTACGGACCCCTCTTGAGAGACTTGTTAACACCCTCATCCTCCATTATGGCATATGCAGCAGAATGGAAGCTGCAAATGGACGCGGCCCCCGAGGCAGAAAAAGCGCAGTACCAGTTCTTTTATGAGAAAGCGTTGAAGAGGGAGGAGGAAGAGGAGAAAGAGAAGGGAGACAATATAAAGGTCATGAAGCCGTCTTCAGTACCGTGCCCACCTTAACTGATGTGGAGGTGGAAGACGAGGTCCGGGCTGTTGAAGATCATACAGGCCAACTCGCCAAGGTGTTTGATGAACTCAATAAGTTGTGCGAGGATATGGCCCTGATGGCGCAGCAGCACCGTGACCAGCTGCAACAGTTTGCTAGCTTGTAGCCGGCCCAAAGTGTCCTTCCGCTTGCTTACCCTGCTTCTAGTGCTGCGTGTCAGGGCGTTCTTGCCCCTCTAACTATATCTTCTTCTTCTTCTTCTTCTTTGAGTGTGGCCAACAGCCTAACCGGATCTGCTGTTGCTGCAGCGGCAAGTGGCAGTGTAGGGCATTTTGGAACTGTTGCAGCCCCGAATTCGGACCCAGCAACCGTTGGTCCTAGCTGCAGCTTTCCTTACATGGATAGAAAGGCGACACAGATTCCGTCTAAATACGACGAAAAGGACGACATTGAATCCTGGATCATCTCTATGCGATCCCACTTTGATGTGTTGGGGACACTCCCGGTTACTCAGTCGTCGGTCCTAGGGACCAATGTGGAACCCGCTGTAAGGGGTTTCTTAGCAA